GGTGGGAAACGTCGAGCCTCTTCGGCCCTTGGCCCCCTGGCAGCCACCATTGAGCTGTAAAAGCTTTTTTCGGGTTGGCTCCAGTGGTTGTGCAAATGTACAGGCCGGGGGTGCTGCGGCTGGATGGGCTCTACGCGGCCCGCCGCGGGGGGAGTAAATCTGCTCCTCTCTGCCTCATAATCAATTAAGACATAACCTAGTTTGCATGCATTGCACCGTCCGCTGGAACTGACAGCTGCGTTCCGCAGCTGTATGACTGCTCGAACAAGCCAACCTCGGCTTGCAGGAGAGAAATGGAGTGCGCTGGGGCGCGCGGGCGGCTTGTCGTCGTCCGTCCCCGGCCGACCTCCTCCCTTCACATTCCTGATAGAGTAGTCTTGCTTAGCGGATACTTGTCTTATCAATGTCTCATCCCGTCCCCTCTCTCCCTGAGCAGAGTGAACATGATATCTTAATCCCTTTGTCATCTTACCCCGATTCTCAGAGGAAAGACTAAGAGGGCACTGGCGTGCGCTGGCGTCTGGCAGTCGAGGAGAGAGCGCCGACGCAGCGCCGATCGGCGCCGATTCGGCGCCGCTCGGCGTCGGTCGGCGCCGAGCGGCTCGGCGCTCACCTCACGAGCGAATGCGCGGCCTCTGCGAGGAGCGCGCAAAAAAATTGATGCTCAATTGTCTTCCTGCTCTCTCCTCCTTCTTCGGGCCGCGACAGCCAGCAGGGCGACGCGGGAGGCCCCCCCGAGTTGCAAAAGATCGTCGGCCAGCCCGCGGATTCCTGTGGACGGGCCTCCTCCTCCCTCCTCCTCCTCCTCCTCCTCCTCCTCCTCCTCCTCTTCCTCCTCCTCCTCCCTCCTCCTCCTCCTCCTTTTCATCCCTCCTCTCATCCCTCCTCCTCTTCTTCCTCCTCCTCCTATTCATCCCTCCTCCTCCTCCTTCTCCTCCTCGTCCTCCTCCCCCGCCTCCTCGTCCTCCTCCTCCCCCTCCTTGTCCTCCTCCTATTCATCCTCCTCCTCCTTTCGCCGGATGGTGGGGCCTCATGCGCATGAGTGGGTACGCTTCCCTGCAGAGCCCTTTCGAACCCTCAGCTGCAGCAGTCCGTAGCACTTGCTGTGTTGTGGGCCTGAGTCCCGGCTCATCTTCTCTCAGTTCCGAATTCGGTTCCAAAAGCCTCGGGCGGTTGGACCTTCGCCAAAGGTTGGTCTTAGGGGGCTGCTGGCTTTTCGTAACGGCGCTCATCGGCCTAGGATTCTGTATGGCTCGAAATAGTAAGCGGGTCCAGCAGCAAGAGGTCGGGCCTCCCTTGTGGGAGGCAGGTCGCGGTACCGGCGACTCTGCCAGACGTGTGGTTCGCCGATGTCAGCGCTCAAGTTGTTAGAGACACGCTTAGACGCGTGACGTGCTCAAGTACGATGTGTGTGTGTGTGCAGTGGTGCCTGGTCAGTATACTGTGGGCACCCACCAAGCCGCCAAGGCCTTGCCCTGGGTGTGTCGCGTCGTGGCGATGGGTCCTCCCCCTCGGCACGGGGGCATCGCCCGAGGGGGCGAAGCACTCCGCTCCGGCACGTGGCAACGCCACGGTAGTAATTCACCCGGCGCGTTCCACTACTCGCAAAGTGCCCATTCTCAAACGTCCGAAAAACACACGTTGGCTTCGATGCAATGGATCGTGAATCCTCCGCGGCTGATCCAGGCCATTTGCGAGTAGTGACTTTGCGAGTAGTGGAACGCGCTTGCCTAGTAATATCGACGCGCAGATATTCGTCAGTCTGCTCGCCAAAGTGGCCAGGCAGCGGGCCAGCACACACATCATGCCCCTATTGTCGTCGCGCGGCATCGCTTGGGAGGCGAAGCTGAGCAGAGCGAGGGGCCCGAACGTTCATTCATTGTCCCTGGGTGCGTGGCTGAAGTGGGGATCCGTGGTGAGGGAGGGTCCTGCTTGTTGCGTTGTTGCGTTGTTGTTGTTTTTGGTGGTGTTGGTGTTGCTGTTGCTGTTGTTGCTGATGCTGCTGCTGCTGTTCTTGTTGTTGTTGGTGGTGGTGGTGGTGGTGTTGTTGGTGTTGTTGTTGTTGGTGTTGTTGGTGGTGGTTGTTGTTGCTGTTGTTGTTGTTGTTGTTGTTGCTGTTGTTGTTGTTGTTGTTGCTGTTGTTGTTGTCATTGTTGTTGGTTGCTGTTATTGGTTGTTGTTGGTTGCTATGACCCACCCGCGACCCACCCCGCGACCCATCTACGACCCAGCCGGGACCCATCCGCGACCTACCCACATTTGTTGAACGAAAAGATCGGCGTCTGCGGCGGGTTCGTTGTATAATGTGAGAAACTTCGGCGCCTGCGGCGGGCTTCTCCAGAGTCTCGCAGACTGCGGAAGTCTCCACCGCCCCCCCCCGCCCCCCCACTTTTATCCGTATTTGCGGGGTGCTAGGGTACCTACTATTCCATTGCGTTCGCCTTGTGGCCGCGCAGCGTGGCCGGAAAGCACAGCCTCGTCGACTTTGCTCGTCGCGTGCAGCGGAAGAAACATTATGCCACCCTGCTCGGCACGGGGCAACGCCGAGGGGCGAAAGACGCCGATGGTGTTTTGATGGCCACGTGGCATCGCATCGCGGCGGCAGACACACCGTCCAGCAAACTCGCCAACGGAGCAGACTGGGGAACAAAAGCGTGCCACGTTACTCGTCACGCCGTAGAGCCTGCGGGCGAAGTGCAGCGGATTGCAAAAAACAAAAAAAAAAACGAAGGATTGCAACAACAAAAACCCCAATCCTTTTTTGCAATCTTTTTTTTTGCAATTATTCTGCTCGCCGCGCGGCAGGGCCGGCGGGGCCAGAACACACACACACACACACACACACACACGCCATGCCCTTCCCATAGTCGTCGCGCGGCGACGCCCGGGAGGCGAGGCTGATGCTGTGTTTCACTGCGCTCGCCGCGTGGCCGCGCCGCGTGGGCGAAGCGGCGGCCTGTGTTCGACCCTGCTCGTCGCGTGGCCTTCGCCTGGGGGAGCGAACGAGAGGTCGTGTGCCAGCCCTGCTCGGCATGGTTTGCAGCGCCCGAGGGGCGAAAGGCACCCCGACTCTGTGCTCCGATGGCCTCGTGTATGTCGCCTCGCGGCGGCAGACCTACGCGTCCGCCAGACTCGCCAGCGCGGCAGGCCAGGAACAGACCCATGTCAGTCTACTCGCCACGGTATGCCCTGCAGCGGCGCTGGACGTGTTTTTTTCTCTTGCTCTGGCCACGGGGCGGTCGCCCGTCGCGTGGCCAGTGCCTCCTAGCCCATGGGGCTGCTGGAGGTACTCTTTCGGTCAGTGAGGTCTCCCTCACTTCCAGCAGTGGTTTCCCAGCCGCCACTGCTGGGCTTCTTTCACCAAGGCTGTGCGGGCGTTGAGCTCAACCAAAAAAAAATGCCACGCAGCGGGCCGGAAGGAATATCATGATTTTCGATGCAGGCGGGGCCAGAAACAGATACCACTCCACCCGACTCGTCGCGCGACTTCGCCAAGAGGGGCTAAGAAGAACCGGTCCATGACACTGGCCACGGTCGCGCAGCAGACCGAAGGGGGAGACCCATTCCACTCGACTCGGGGGGGGCGGACAATCACCGCCCACCAAACCACCCCAACCCAACCCGAAGGCCCCGATTTGCCCTTCATTTCCAGTGGGGGGGTGGGGTCGGGGAACATGTGAAAAACACGTGCGGAACCCGTACCCCCCAACCCGAAATTCCGGCGGTCTTCCGGTTGGGTTGGGGTGGTCTTGTAGGTAGTCAGACAGAACTCTTTTCCATTCGATTCGTCACGCCGCAACGCTTGGAAGGCGATACACGCGTTGGTCCACTGTGCTCGACAAGCGCCTGCTCGGCACGCGGCAGCCCCGTGGGAGCGAAACACACAACGATTCTGCTCTGCTCGCCACGTCGTTGCGCAGGCAGGCCGGACAACACTCGATCACGGACAGAGGCGTACCATTCCATTGCACCCGTCACGCGGAAACGCCTGGGGGGCGAGACCGATTTTTCTTCCGTGAGCCTCGCCACGCGGCCACGCGGCGCGGCGGGAAAGCAACCCTTTCTCGGCCCCACTCGTCACGTGGCCACGCGGGAGGAGGAGGACGAGGGGGAGGGGAAGGGGAGGCGCGCGAGGGGCAGAGGCTCGACCTGCTGGGGGGGAGAAGGGACCGAGGCGCGGGGAGCCCGGGCAAGGAGAGGCTCGACGGCCGGCGGGGAGGGGAAGGGAGAGGAGGGGAGGGGGGGAGCCCGGAGAGGAGATAATTGCACCGGACAAAAATATCCCACTCAGTGGATGGTTTTTGCTGAGGAGATCGACGGGGATCATCCAGGAGCCTGGGAGCCCGGGAACCCAGATCCCACCGAAATCGGCCCGGAAACAGTAGCCGGGAACCCGGGAACCCGGAACCGGGAACCCGGGAACCCAGCTTGCTACCAAAATCGGCGGGAAGTTTTCGCCAAATCCTTCAACTTCCGCCAGGACCCTTTCAGTGCAAGCACTGATTGGGGAACTTCCGCTAGGACCCCTTCAGTGCAAGCATTGATTGGGGAATAGTCTTGAATGCCAGGGTGGGGGGGCGGACCCCCCCCCTTTCGTATCAAGGGGGGGGCAGCATCCCCCCCGCGCTTCCTTCGCTTGGTATCGCTCTATCCAAAGTCTGGTCCTTCAGCCTCAGGGGCGAGCTTCCGAAGCGGCCCCTCGCGTACGATTCGGTGCCGCGCCTGCCGACGATCATTCTTGGCCGGGGAGCGTACCGTAGATACTGACGGGACATGCGTTCGGGTTTTACCAGCCTGGAGCATATCCCTATCCCTATGCTGAGCATCTCCTCATCACGATGCCAATCTTAGGGATTCCCTTATTTTTTGACGGCGAATCCCTAAGACTGTCATCGCCTTTTGATTTTGGCGTGTCAATCTTAGGGATAGGGATAAGTTCGAGGCTGGGAAGGGTTGGCTCATCTTCCATGTGCTACTTGCTCCTCGCTGTCCGCGCCGAG